GGGCTCGCGACCCACCGTGCGGCAAAGGTGTTGCATTCCCTGACCAACGGATGCTAAAGTAAAGTAAGATAATAGTTGGACCACCACGGCTGGGTGGCAGACGGCTGTTGGAGGATTGCACGGGTGTCGGCGGTAGCGCAGCCGCCGGCATCACGAGTACATTACAGCTTGTCTGTCGGCAAAGGTGACCATTGCGAAGGGAGCAGGAAAGGGAAATCGGCCGAATCGTGCAATGCCCCTCAGCGAAGATGATGAGAAGAAACTTTGGACTAGTGGAGCAATGGGGAAACACTCGCCTAAGTGTCTCTTGCGGGCACTCTGGTGGAAGTTTACCACTGGCTTCGGTCTTCGTGGTGTTCAAGAACACCGTGACATGCAATGGGGCGATGTGAAGCTCGGTGAATCGTCTGAAGGGACCTTCATCGAGTTTCAGGAGCGAGCTACTAAGACGAGAAAAGGTGCATGCCCGGGACGCCCATTCACCCCCAAGATATACTGTACTTGTGAGGGTCAGTGTTCCGAAAGCTGTGCGGTGGCTCTTTTCAAGCTATATGAAGAAAAGAGACACAACAAATAACACCCAGCGTTCTACCTAGCCATCAACTACCAGAGCAAAGAAGACTGGTATAAAAACCAGCCGCTCGGCAACGGCAGCCTCAGCAAGATGATGAAAGAGACAGCGATTGACGCGGGCTTAGAAGGAAACAGGTTTACCAACCACAGCGGCCGCAAGACCGGCGTTAACCTTCCAGGCGGTGGGGGGGGGGCAATTTTTTGCCCCCCCCTTTAGTTTTTTTGATATATCTCGAGAACCGCTGCGCCGATCGTCACCAAACTTTCAGTACCCTCCCGGGAGCAGCTAGCGCACATGGTGACCAAAAATTTTTTCAAAGGCTATGATAGGTTGGCCGCTAATGACGTCAGAGTGACGTCATTTTTGCCATTTTCGACCCAAAAACAGGTTTCGCGGGAAGAGCTGTCAGGACTACAGCTTTAGAGATACAGAAAAATGTTTCAGACATAAAAGGTGTGGAATAAAAAGGGCTACAAAACTGCTATTTCGGTTTTTCGAATTTTTTGGATTTTAACCCCCAAAAATCAAAAAATAGATTTTTTGAATATAATATCAAAAAAATCCAAAAAGTTTTTTGAATTTCGAAAAACCGGAATATATGTGATAGCCCCTACCGCCTTCTATCTACATACCAAATTTGAGATCGATACCTCTTTTTTTGGCCAAGTTATAGCGAAAAAACTGTTGAAAATTGATGACGTCAAATTTTCAAACTCAATTTTTAGCAATTCTAGACCTCGTAGCGCAAAACAAAGACCACCATTAGACTCCCCGTGACGAGCTGCATCGAATCGATACCCATTTTATGCAAAAATATCAACTTTGAAATTTGACCTTTTTTGACCTGACCTTGACCTGAACTCCACCAGAAAGTGACCTAAACCGTACCTGATGGTCTTATAACCAACACCATTGAGTTGGAAATGAAAAACTGGCCATAAAACATGCATCGCATAACCTTAGTAAAGTTGGGCTCATGTGGTGACCCTTGGTGACCTTTGGTGACCTGACCTGTGACCTGACCTGGTATGACCAGTGACCTCTAATAGCAACATAGGTACTAGACAACTGACGCCTTATCGCTGATTTTCGACAAAATGCGTTTTACTCGGTGTTATAGCGCTTTCCCTAGAAGCCCCGTGAACGGTGAAACATCTTTGACCTGACCTGAGACGTCATCGGTGACCCCGAGGTCAATGAAATTTGGTTTCCTTCGACAAATTTGGCAGGGCTATCGAACGCCGTTTGAATTTTCCGGATCCGTCCAGTAGTTTCGGAGATACGGGGGGGCAAAAAAGTGCCCCCCCCCCCACCGCGCGGAAGGTGGCTGGTAGGCCCACCGCCTGCCGGGTTAAACGACTTCTTGACGCTCAAGTGGCGCCGCATTTCATTGCGCAGCTTACGGGACATAAGAGTGTTAGTTCTCTATCGAGCTACGCCGAAGCCGATGAAAAAATGCAGAGGAGAATGTCGGCTGTGGTCGCAGGAGAGAGCCATCCTGCTGGGCCAGTCAAGAGGACAGAAGTTGTGTCTCGCGCGGATGGGGGGCAAGATGTTCACGCGCAGAGCATGTCGACTGGTGCGAGCGGATTCAGTGGGAACTTCAATGGCTGTACATTCTATGTGTACAGTCGTAACTGAAGTTACGAGGGCGCTAGACAACAAGGAGTGGAGTGATTTGAATAGTGATTTTGAAAACTGTCACCATTAAAACGTTATGCTTGTTCAGCCTGCAACTCGAATGTTTTGAATGTGATGCGATGTGATTGAAATACATATCGTCATATGATGGATCACCGATGTTTGTTTTGGTTATTCAAATGAATTAACACATTTAATTTCAATACCCCATCCCTGTATGAAATGTGACGTCACAACAAGGGGTTTAACAATTTGTTAAACCCCTCCCGCATGTTTAACAACTCAGTTATCCATCGAGTGATAAACTTTTCAAGATAACACGTGAACCAATGTGTAACACATCCTTTCGCCATGGGATAAATATTATTTATTAGATAGGAAATACTATTTATAGGGCCTGTTCCAGCGCCTCCAGAAACCTCCAGAAAGCTCCAGAAAGCTCTAGAATCCTCCAGAGAGCGTTCCAGCGCCTCCAGAAAGCTCCAGAAAGCTCTCGGCAAAGCTCCAGAAACCTCCAGTAGCCTCCAGAGAGTTGAGAGGTCCAAATTTCTCTGGAGGCTCTGGTCTACAATTATGGCGCACATGTGACAATCACGAATGTAAACAAAGGACATTTGACTGATTATTTTACAGCTTGAATGTAAAGAAAATTACATTGCTATAATTTTCTTAATCTTTCTTAATAAAATTTAAAACAAATTTTGCGTTTTAAGAGAGAGCAATCGTCATTCTTTTGGTATATGTGATGCCAATCTCCAGAAATCTCCAGATTGCGTTCCAGCGCCTCCAGTAAAACCTCTGGTAGAGCCTCCAGTCAAGAATTTCTACTGGAGGCGCTGGAACAGGCCCATAGTCACCGTGGGGGTGGGAAATACTTAGCCTGTCGAGATGCAAATGACATCATTCGAATAGCAGTAGTCGATCTAATCGGCTGAAAAAAATATGGTAACCTCAGCTGACTTGCATAACGCATGACCTCAAGGGGCCAACTCAACATTTTGACTTTGGAAGCCATGCATATTGCGTACACTCAAGTAGGTCTACAAAATAAGTCCCCGCCGTATGCGGGTCACCAGTGGGCAGTTAGCGCTTGAGCGCTACTCAGGCGCCACCTGCCCGGCTGCCCGCATACGGAGAGGACTTTGGTATTTTGTAGACCTACTGTACATACCTATTATAACACAGCAATTGACCTCTCGAGGTGTCTGAGATTTTATGAGGTTCAGGTCACCATAGTTAAAATTTCTAGATAAGAATTCATGCGGCTTATCGACTGGTGACATTTTCGTGTCATTCGGCTCGGCAGTTGCTGAGGAGCGGATGCCTGACATAGGCCCGTTCCGGTAGGTTGGCCCTCCACTGTGTAGTCGAGCTCACAGCTGAGGTCGCCACACTCGGAACAATTGATTAAAATATATGACAGATCAGCTTGTGACGTTTCTGTCTAGATCGACCCAGTAGTTTCTAACTTCTATGATGACTGCTACCGACGAACGTCCAAGCGACCTCTCGAGGTCACTGAGGTTATGTAAGATCAACATGTCATGACTGTCCAAACTGGATACAGGGAGCAGGCTGGCTGTTTTTCTCTATAGATCAAGCCAGACTTCGAGGTCATATAAAACGCTTAACCCGCGCGGGGCTGGGGGGTAAATTTTACCCCCCTCGCGAATTTTTGCAATATCTCAAAAACGGCGGCGCGCAGCGGCGCCAAACTTTCAGTACCTTTTCTTGCATCAATTTGACACGTTCCCTGAAAATTTGAGCGAAATCCGTCGGGAAATTTTTGAGAAATTTACGTTTTAGTGACGTCATGTTCGCCATTTTCGCCTCAAAAACGGCAAAACTTCAAACGCCGCCAACATCTTCATTTTTAAAGGAATCAAGACGTAACAAAAAGGTTATACGTAATTCTACTTTGTCTATCAAATGGCTATCTCAATTTTTTGAAAACTTTGGATTTTGGTCCAATTTTTTTTTTTCAAAAAACTGACTTTTTTGGGAAAATAGTTATAAAATCCAAAATTTCGAGTGTATCGAAAAAACCGGAATATATGTCAGAGAAGTGGTCTATGTGCACCTACATACCAATTTTTAGAAGAATCGGTTCAAAATGTGGGAGTTATTCAAAATTTTATGACGTCACGACACACAAAAAATTTGAAAAAAATGATTTTTTTTGAAGTTCTAGACCTCGTACGGAAACAAAAATGGCACCATTTGATTTGAGGCCTTAAAAACCAACTTCAAAATTTGACCTCACTTGACCTGACCTTGACCTGACCTCGACCTGAAATTCATCCAGAGGTGGTCCATATCACTTATTGAGTGTGCCTATTGAATTCTATGAGTAAAATGACCCATAAAACATGTGTCGCACATGCCCTTTTCTATATTTTGTTTTTGGTGACCTGACCTGACCTGACCTGACCTTGACCTTGACCTCTGAATGATATTGTATGCAACGAATATTGTCTTGGTAGCCTAAGAACACGTTTTGGGCAATCAGTCTCAGTCGATGACTCCATTCTTCGGCAACTACGGTGCAAGACCGATACTGTAGAAACTTGCAATTTGTACCCTTGACCTGACCTTGACCTTGACCTCAAACTTAAAATTAAGTACATGTTTTTAGTTGTTCGTGATGAGATCTTTCGATTGGCGTTTGAATTTTCCAAATCGGACCATTAGTTCGGGAGATAACAGGGGGGGGGGTAAAATTTACCCCCCCAGCCCCGCGCGTTCGGCTGGAGACCTGCAGCCCCGCGCGGGTTAACAGCCATCATATTCCAAAACTTGTATTTAAGTCGAACTTGAACGTAGGTACCTACCTAAATCACGAGTGCTAGGTCACTTCGGTAAACATTTATTATAAACCTTTTATAACTAACACGAAATGAAACACATCATTTTTGCATGTACAATAGTATGAATTATTCACCCCATTAGGCTCGCCATAGCCAGTGTCACATATCGTGCTCCACATGACGCTTATTCCTTTACAAAGGGACCAAGTTCCGACATTTGTGAGCTATCGTCTCTCGCTGCGCGCATCCTGGCCCGCCAGCAGTCATCACCAGTAGGTGTCTGGCACGGACACCTCCAGCGCCGAGTAGGTCTGGGCCAGCGGCAGCCGCAGGCTGGTCAGCTCCAGTGCCTCGAAGCCCAGGTCCGGGTAGCCTAGACCGGAGGCCACCATGCTTCGGAGCCGCCAGCGGCGCATGAGCGCCGTGGTGATGTCGCGGGCCGGCCGCTGCCGGGGACCGTCGACAGTGGAGAACTGCGGGGCAGAGCGGGATTTAATTGACACGTCTGATCTCACATCACCTTTCACATTCCATCCTAGCCTAGGCTTCCACACAGACATAGGCACCTACTTGCCTAATCGCATCACAATTAACCTCGTCAAATCTCACTTACCTCACCTCCGGTCACACATAACAGATGACGCACCGCAAAACATAAATATTTTGCCCGAAACATTACCCCGTTTATCACAGCCATGCAATAAAAATACTTACGACATTTGACACGCTATCAGACTTGGGCGCTGGAATCGCATCCACGCTAAGAGAGCTGAGCAGAGCGAAGGAGACAGCGGCAATTAGAGCTGTCCTCTGCGAAAGCAAAGCGGAACGTAAACGGAATATTACTTATTGATTTAGGAAAGAAAAATTTAAACGGAGCATAAATATCGAGCTTTGTTATAGGTACCTACATAGGTAGGGGAGAGTGGGGAAAGATGCCCAGGGTTTTACTATGTCATATATTATTCGAAAATGACGATCGGAAAGCAAAAACTTGGAGTTTCAACGGAAGCCGACATCATTTTTCTCAAAAAATATCACACTTTCGTGCCTGAAATATGATAACTTTTTTTTGTTATTAAGCATTTTCCTGAAGAAGTGAAAGGGGGCATCTTACCCCACAAGATGGGAAAGACGCCCCCTGGCGTTGGGGAAGATGCCCCCTGCACTATACGTGACATAAATGGGCACGTGAATCGCCTGAACGAGTCAGTAGTCCCTTCGAGCCTGCAGTAGAACCAAACGTCATCGTAAAAGCCCTCAAAAGTAGTCGTAAGGGGCTTCAGAGGTCATCGTTAGGGCCATCATAGTCCAGCGCGGCCAAACAAGCCTCTGTGGTGGCGTTCGGAGACCACTGTGGGGCCCTTATAGGTCTTCATGATGCTTGAGGGCCCTCGAGCTCATCGTGGGGACCTCAGATGCCAGGGCGGCCCGTGGAGCCAACGTGGGAGCCCTCAAAGGATGTCGTGAGGGGCCCTGGAGCCAATAATGGGGCCCACAGAGGCCGTCGTGATGGCTCTCAGAGTCAGATGCCGCCCAAAAAGTCGCTGTGTGGGCCGAGAGACCGGCATGGGGAGCACCCGACCGTACTGGACTCTCAATAGTCCCATATCGGCTTTTGTCTCTCATCACAAGTATGCAATAAATGATTTGACGGGCTGCTTGAAGGACAGCCTACGGATTTAGGGGGGCGTCTTTCCCCATCAGGACAGGGGGCATCTTACCCCAAGGTACCGAAGTAACATTAAATCAGTACAATTTGTTAGCCATAAGACTACACCCTGAAACAAACTGTTTGGGACACAGTACACGCATGTAAATGTATCACGACTATAGCAAGGGACGCAAAAATTATCTACCTTCTTTGATATTTACAATGTTCTGACACCAAAATATTTTTTGAAAGCAGCAAATAAAAAAACACGCGATCACCAGCCAGCCGTTGCCCAACTGAGCTCCGCAAATTTTTGTGCAGTTAACAAGGCAGGCTTCCGCTTTACGCTAAAAACATTAATTTCCAGGTTCGGTTCTTTGTTTCGCCGTTAGAGGGGGTGGGGCGTCTTTCCCACCCTGGGCATCTTACCCCACTCTCCCCTATCGTTAATCGTTAAAAAAAATTAAAATGCAATTTAAAAAGTCTAGTGCTGACAACTAAGCATCGGCCATTCATAAAACAATACATATTTTACGTTTGATTTAGGCATACGTTTAAGCATATGTCTGTTCCTATGCTGAATTTAGACGTATCAGCTAATCCATAAGCAAAACTACATAGTCGTCCCAGCTCACCCAACAAGCGAAATTAGACGTCCCAGTTCACCCAATAAGAGAAATTAGCCTACCCAGCTCACCCAATCAGCGAAACTAGACGTCCGAGCTCACCCAGCGTTGCATGTTGAGTGGGGCCGATGATGAGCAAATGCAGACGTCCCTGTCCGTTATCGCCCCTTTTATAAACTCGTGCACCCTGTCTGTACGGGTGACCACGCCCTAGCGCCTGCAGAGGAGAGGAGCAGAACGCAACGCGCGAGAAACGACCGAGACTCAGGCACCGGACCGATTATATCATTGCCATTAAATTGTGCTCACAAAGTAGGATTCCTAATAAAATCATCGCTGTAACACTCGAGTCCTTCAAAATGAGCACGCCATGCCGCGTTGTCTCTGAATACGCCGACCAGTGCAGTAATCAACACCAATGTCATTGTTCGAACTATTAGATTTAGTTACAGTAATGCATCTGCGCTGGTAGTGCGAATTCGCAGTTAGCGATCGAGTTTTTTACGTGCCGTCGCCAGTTGCGATACGACCTTGGTACTTACCTTCCGAAAAGTCAGAAGTTTGGTCACGTCTGTACCATCCTGCATCCATATACCAATCCAATCAGCCCTAATCTTTCGGACCGGGCTGAGACGAGTCCGCCGGCCCGGTACGTGTCTCCCATCCCGGCGAGCAGCTCACCGGTGCAGTTTTTGCCACCCGTGCAGTTTGGGGCCTTGCTGATCCTCCGCTGTGATGGTGCGGCCTATTTCACTGTTATCCTTACAAACATTGTACGGCATCAACTAACAACAGAGCGGGACGTGAGGGGAAGATTCTATCGTCTCAACGTAGACAAAAGTGCATCCGAATAACAGGTTCTAAATACTATCACCACTGATCAGATGTCACGTCCCCTTACTATGGGGGGGGGGGGGGACAGTTGATCTACCCATCCCTTAGGTCATTTCTGCAGACCAGGCCCACCGGATCGGTCACTACCGTTGGCAGACCGGATTATGAGCTGACCTCATGCCGGTGGCTGCGGTGTCACCCGCGACCCGGTCAGAGGCCCGCTCCGCCAGAGAGCAATGGCCGAAGCTCTACACGAGGTCAGCGGGTGCAGGAGCTGCGCCACCGCTCCAGTCCGGTTAGTGCAGCCGGTTAATTGGGGGGGGGGGACAATTTGGGGGGGGATATTGATTAATTTATGCAGATGTGCTTACTCTATCCGCTACTCGCTGACCTATCCGCAACTCAATGATGATTAAAATGCCGAGCCGACAATATGGGATAATAAGTAAAAATAAACGTTTCCTTACAATCCGAACGGCTACGGACAGGAGCTTTACGAGCTCACACAGTTGGTCATTTCTTCCCGGGACATGTCACGCAAACACGTGCTCGCAGGCTGGCAGAAGCATAAGTGTCAGAGCAACACGAGCAAAACAAAAACATGCCGCAATTATGTCAGGGACAATGGGTACAGCCGAGTGATATGTAGCCCGATGAACTTGTGTTTGCCGGTGGGATCGCTGGGAGTTATTTGGCCCGTTGCCTATAAGCATTCAACATATTTTATCCTGTGATGTGAGCCCGTAAGACAGATGACTTTTACCAATGCAGAAGTGTGTTAATCGTCCAGAAGCAGGTGTCCTAGTGATCCTTACAAGCTTTATGAGCTGGTAAAGTACCTACGCACTAACCGTGCAAAAGACGGAGGGAGAGAGACGGCGCCAAGCAGAGGGGCAGGGAGGAAGGAAGACGCCGCCTTCCGTGAGTTTTCCACGGAGCAGACGGGGCGGAACGGCGACCAACAACAGCGTCACTGCGGCGCTTTGTGGGCCGACTGTCTGGTGTGTTAGATGGCCAGATGGCCTTAGGTCGGCAGCGGCTCCTCTCCAAGGTCGGGTCAGCCCCGTTATACGGCAGAGGGAAGTCGCGCACCGAGACACAGCGGAGAGAGGAAAGGGGAGGAGAGGTGAGGGGAGGGATGGGCGCTTCCGTGTCGTATAGGTGCATCGCTTCCTGGCGGAGTGGATAGCGCAGGATAGGCGTAGGATAGTCGGCTAACAAAAACGCCGGCTTTGACCGAATATGACCTGGCATATAACGTCATAGGTCAATGACATTTTCCCATGGATTTTTATTTTATTGATCATTATTTTCTAAAACGTCTAAAATTTTACTATCAGTGAAATGTCGAATTCCGGCCCAATCCGTCTGCGCGCTCAAAGACATGCATTCACCCAAAAAATAGGTAAAGAAGTTACAACAACCCTAAATGATCAATCGCGCATAAAACTTTTTTGCTGTGGCGGCATTCGAGTGTCGTGCAGAGTGCTAAATGTGAGCGCAATCAAGGTGGCAGGACCATCGCTAAACGTGCTACCATGTTACCAATTTACAACGTCATCGCCAGCTTGGTAAAACAAGCAAAACACGGCGTCACCGCCAAGGTCACACGCCCACTACCGACACAATGCGACTGGACATGGCTCGGCCTGGCCCCTTCCGGCCCATGCGTATCGTAATTGCGGAAGGCCTTGGCGTCAACGTTGGATGATGCCGGTGTAGCGATGCGATGCGCTCATTTTACTGACAACCGCTGTGCGAGGCGACGTGGGGATGTCACCAGAAGGCAGATGTGGAGACGCGAACACCTCGGTTTGGTTCATTTGCTGATCATTTACAGTACATGTCCGTCTTTCGCAGTGAGTCTGTTTACTGATAGCCGCAGTGATAATGCGTGGCTACTGGCCATGATGTTTGTCGTGGTTAGTGGGTGGCCTGTGAACAGTGCGTAGATATATAGCTTTCAGTCTGGTACAGTGAATGAAGGTGCTACGACTCTGGTTACATATCTGAGTTACATACACACTTCCGTCGAATTTGAACGGAGTGTCAGATGCGGAGTTTATTGAACAAATCGGTATTTTGACATGTTCATTTATTTGGTTTGATCATTACAGTGGTAAATTGAGGTTAGACTGTCATGTTGATAAAGTACAGTTGACCCGTTACGATAATCCGTCCGGTTTGTTTCTGTGATAATAGTCAGTTTTTGGACCACCTGACTACCGGCTGATCCAGCAGATAGTATGCAGTTAAACCACCTCAGTGACATTCTGCATGATCGGGTCGCCACGCTGGGGTCAGGCACCGGCACGGGCGGCTAGGGGGCCCGTCTCACTACCGGGTTGACCTCCACGGCACCACAGCGCAGTCGAGGTCGGTCCTCGGGCCCGACTCGGCACCCGACGACCCCAGTCCTGCTCGAGGCACCGCCGGGGGCGCAGCAGCACGGTGCCGTGAGGACACGGAGTCTCTCACGAGGAGCGGAGGACACTGCGACTGACCTGAGGACTGACCGGAGTGCACGGCGACTGACCCCGGGAGCCAGGAGACTGAACACCGGCCACAGGTGAGGATTGTGAGGGCACGGTAGATTCAGGTGCGGCTATATGTATAATGTAGAGATCATGAGGGATTAAGGTTAATAATCAATATATGAGGTTTGCAGGTATTATGTATGTAAGTAGCTATGCATGCATGTTTGTATGACCGTATTCGTATATGAATGTATGCGTGTATGAGTGTACCTATGCGTGTATGAATGTATGCCTGTATGAATGTATGTGTATATGCTTGCATGGAAGACGAAGTGCATGCATACACCCGACGAAATGTGAAACATATTGTTTGAATGCCGTAGCTATGAAATATGAACGTTTGTTACAATGATCATGCACGATGATATATATAATATGATCAATGATCAATAAAATGGATAGAACAGGCACAATATCGCTTGGGACGGGAACGTTTGTCGCTTTTTTGCTGTTGGCGGCGTCAATAGGTAGGTACATTACAAAATTATTCGAAAGAAGAAATCGATCCCTCGCTATTTGTCATTGGCGCTGATCGTCAACTGTGTCTATGTCGGTTAAAAATAAAAAGCGTTATTCCATGGAAATTTCAGTCTGAGGTCAAGTAAGGTCAGGTCACAAGGTCACGTCAATTGACCTTACCTCATAAAAAGTTCCAATGCCTATACCAGAGCTACACCGTGTGACTGATTACTTTGAAACTTTCAGCAATTGATAAGAGCAACAGTATATACAAAATAATATCTCGGAAATTTGATATCGGTGACCAAGCGTCTGGTCATTTTTGCGACCTCTCCATTACCTATAAAAGCCAATGGAAGAAAATTGAAAGGCGCCTCTTCTGGACGAAAGTCAATTCTAAACGCTTTCAAACATCGAATTACCAGTAACCATGACACAATAAACCGGAAAATGGCACCCGTAACCCCTCGTTATGTCCCCGAGGTCAGCTCAGGTCACGAAAGATATCTAACTATTTTTCACTTATATAGCTTTTGATAGAGGCACGCTTGAGCGATAAAAACACCTTAGGTAGGTTATATGTTCGGCTCGGTGATACGGATCGACTGCTATGCAGCATGACCTTTTTCCGGTCAGGTCATGACTTTGACATACCAAATTTTCAGGTTGACCTTCCGAGGTCAACTTACAGCTCATTCTATATATCTTGTTGAGAGGAACACGATGTTGCTATTTGCTAAAAGTATCCTCGTGAACGGTTTAACCCTATTAGTGGCAGGGGGGGTTGTTTTTATCCACCCCTCAGGTTTTTCGGGAATATCTCCGAAACCGCTGAAGCTACGATGCTGAAATTTTCTGACTTTTCCTAAAACTAAATTGGGCACATTCCCTGAAAATTTCAAGTTCATAACTTTACCAGGGGCGGCTCCAGAGCACTGGGAATTGGGGGTCCTATTCGTGAAGCGAGTCATTTGGGCGAAGATCACGATGCTGCACCAGTTTTACGAACAGTGAATGAAAGGTATCATGTGATAACATATACAAAGTTATTGTGCATCCTCTTTTGACACGTTTTTGCTATAATAGGCGGATCCAGGCGTCCAAAAAGGGGGGTTATTTTTTACCTCCCAACATAGGTGCCCTGACACCGCCTATGCATGACCAATACAATTTTAGTCGTTCTCTCATAAGAAAATTGTAACATAACAAGACCATTGTCACCCTTTTTAGAAACAGTACCAACAAAAACCTTATTTACTATACTTTTTGTGTACCCCCAATCTCAATGATCTGTATCCGCCTATGATTTTTGAAAATGCATATTTTTAGGATCCATGTGAATTCCTGGTTCATTCTCTATCGATCGGCAAAAGTTGCGTTAAGATTGGTTCAGAAACCTGGCCGTGATAAACAGTCTAAAATGTATCTGCAATTTGCCCGTTTTTACCCCCCTCTACCCCCCTATTGACATATTTTAATTTTATTTTTGTTAGAAATGTAGATCTCGTTGAGCCAAATCGAATGCCGTTTGAATTTTGAAAATCGGCCGGTTAGATCTCGAGATATCAAGGGGGGGTCGTAAACAGCCCCCCCCCTGCCACTAATATGGGGTAGCCAGGAGCCTGCCACTAATAGGGTTAAGGCAAAGGGTATACCAGAAAACTTTCCGCAAAAGGCGTCTATTTTGGGAGTTTTTGCTCCCTACAGGCTATACCGTTGAACTTAGGCCAAATCTGAATGAAATAATCAGAAAGAGTGTTAAAAGAGCTATCGAAAGCGCTTTCCTGTGGCGTCGTAGGTCTATCCGTTCCCCAGTTATGCGCCAGTTTGTCGAAAAATATCATAGTTTTACCTGGAAAGTGGCGAAATTTTACCATCGATAACCTATGGTGACCAGACTTTTGACTTGACCTTAACCCGCGCCCCACTGGGGGGAGGCTATTTATAGCCCCCCTCCCGTTTTTCTGCAATAACTTCCAAACCGCTTGACGTATCGACGCCAAACTTTCAGTACCTTTGGCTGCATCAATTTGACACCTTGTGTCAAAATGTAAACTTCGTACCTGCCATAGGTCGGCCGGAAATGACGTCAGAGTGACGTCATGTTCGGCCGATTTCGACGCAAAACATTGAACCACGGCAATCGCTCCCAAGAGCTCAGTTTTTAAGCTAGATCCAATTTCTTTGCATGAGAGGACTCAGAATAGACTGAGCTATCAAACTGCTATCTCGGATTTTCGAAATTATGAAAATTTCGAAAATTTTATATAATAAAATTCAAAATTTATATTTTTACATTTTTTTTTTCAAAAAATTGTTGACTTTTCGTAAAACCGGAATATATGTGATAGAACGCATTATTATGACTAACTCTAGCAAGTTTTAGCTAAATATCTTCAAAAATGGCCAAGTTATACGCATTATTGCAAAAAATTAACGATTATTAATTTTTCAAATCAATTTTTCAGCACGAATTGGACATCGTACGCAAATATAAATAGCACCATCGTGTTCCTGAGCTCAAACTGCATCCAATAGACACCTTTTTTTGTTGAAATATTTTAACTTCAAAATTTGACCTTTTTTGACCTGAAAGTGACCTGACCTAAGCTAAATTTGACTCAAAATGACCTCGAATGACACAGACGACATCAAATTCGAAATGTTTGGCCTAAATGGACCATAAAACATGTGTCACGTGACCGACGGATGATGTAATATTTTCGTGACCTGTGATGACCTGACCTTGACCTGAAAATCAAAGTACAAGTTTGGTACCCTCAGAGTATCTAGAGCATCTGTTCACGAGTGTGTGAACCAAAAATGAGCCTGATCTGACTTGTAAGACGGCGGCCAGAGCCCAAAACGTGAAGAAGCCAAAATGCTAATAATTTTTACTTTGACCTGACCTGTGACGTCATCGGTGACCTCGAGGTCAATGAAATTAGGTTTTGCTCGACAGTTTTTCCGGGGCTATCAGACGCCGTTTGAATTTTGACGATCGGCCCAGTAGTTTCGGAGTTAGGAGGGGGCTATGAATAGCCCCCCCCCCCCCCAGTAGGGCGTGTTATACGCAGACCCCAGTGGGGCGCGGGTTAAAAGTGAGTAGTTTCTTCAATTTTTTTTTGACGCGTTTTCGAACGCCGCCTACGGCGTGTCGCTACGTGGCTCACGAACCGAGTTAGAAGGGGGTGGGTGTTCAAATATCACCCCAGTAGGGCGTGGAAATCCTGGACCTCCAGCGGGGCACGGGTTAATTATGAGTATCAAATTGTGCACTAGGGATGTATAAAAGCAACCGACACTCTCTATCTCCTATAATGCCGTGCAAGAGCGGCGAGAGTCATTCGTCCATCCCCCAACCAGCCTTGATAAAATCAAATCGATAGGTTCAGCGAGAATTTTACCGTACACGATACCGCTAATCGGCCAATTAATTATTGCCTGTGTGCAGATGCTTCAAATCTGCGGATAAAGTTTCTTAAAAAAGAACTATCAAGAAGCAGCTCATTGTAATGCATAGGTAAGTACCTACTCGAACGCTTATATGTTACGCTTTAGAAAAGATAGTGAATGAAACACCTCGGTCCTTGCACAGCCGTATAGATGCGTGTTCAGGTATAAAATTGTTAAGAAAAAAAAATGGTTTAGTTTGGTTTGCAGCAAGAGCTGTGAGCATCAGTACATCAGTACATCAGTACAGTACATGTAGATATTTGACCTCGGAAAGCAACAATGAACAACCAGAAATGCGCATAAGATGTCCATGGAAGCTGCCAGGCACATCGATTGACAGGCGATGCTGCGGCGATGCGGTTTGATCCTGTAACATCAGACCTGTCTTTGAACCACACGTGGCTCAGCAGTCAGTTCGATCAACATTACGGGAAACGATGGAATCACTGGCCTTGCTCCAGAATCTAGGAAAAATTGCCTCGAATCGGTCCAGTCTTAGCGGTAAAATCGATATCTGTGTGCGGGTTCGTAATTGTATATCAACAACCACAACTTCCACTTCACGGTGCTTTGCGGAAGCTAAGGAAACCCTCAAGTTATGTGCGAGGGATGCACCTATACTTGCCTAGAAATTATTGTGTGCTATTCATTCCACCGCATGCCTTATTATTGTGCAATGCAACAAACGGAATTGTAGATTACCTGGTGCACACTACAACATCTTGCGCTGATGTCTTTGAGAACAGGCTTGACTAGACAGCGGCCTTGAAACCGAGTGGACTGCGGATAGTGATCAAATAGTTCAACGTCTCAACCACCACGGCCAAACGCCGAGAGCGAAACTTACACTGGTCAAACCCGATCCGGTAGAACACGTCTAAGTTCTCTGAAAGCATGGCCTTCGGAAAACATTTCACGATCAGAAATAGCGACATTTGAATATTCTGCAGTTTGTCACGTTTTACGTCTAAATGGGCTGTGGCGAGCCACGGAAAGTGGGTACATTTAGGGGCCTCATACCATTTCTGATGGATTTCACTATTCAAACGATACCAATGTATTAACCTCACATTGTTCTGTATTCCCTGCCAGGTTCTGGTATGCACGTCTCTGCTGAGCTCTGCGTCGAGGAGGAATGCACATCCGCAGTGACACCGGGACCTTGGCATTGTAGCAGCGGACGCCGTCGCTGAGGACAGGGTCTGCAGAGGCGGCCAGGATGAGGGCAGGACTAGCGGTACAAGTCGTCACCCTGGCAGTCGCACCGCTGCTGGTTGAGGGCATCCTCTTCTCGCAGTACCGATCACGTTACTACGAAGCGCGGCCCGGAAGGCAATATGTCAGGTCAGTCGATATATGGTCTAAGCGTAAACATGAAACCCACATAGATTCAATGTGAACTGTGAATACTTTCAACAGTTTTCGTTTGCATTTTCAATGACCATACGTTTAGCCAGAGGTGACTGTAAAAATTGCCAGGAATACATTTTGCTTAAAAATTGCCAGGAAGTATTTTGCTAAATAGATCAAGGTTTTCAGCAGAATCACGTTTCCGTTCAAGCTAGCACGTTTCCTCATGAATTGAAATCGGTTCTCAACAGCGAAGAATCGTTCCATGAAATGAAAACCATAATAGGTATGACCTTAGATTTTGCAGATTTGGATACTGTACTACCTGTGAATCTGTGTATGACGCACTTTCCAGCATTCTGGGCAATGTGTCATACAAAGATAAGGGTCACGTCAAGGGAAAATATATCATGCATAAGCTGCGCATAAGAAAATACATCAGCTACCTATTTTGGTAAGATTCCTAAATGTGTTTGAGGAGTTCTTCCTGTTAAATAATTCAATGACGATGCTCAATTTTTACCAGCTCCATCCAGACACTACTTAACGGTTATTGTAAAAAAGAAACGGAAAGTGGCTTCGTTCACCTTCCAGGAAAGGATAACTTCATGCAGTGTTTATAGATCATTAGAAGAGACTAGATACTACAAAGTTCATCAACGAGAGCAGAACGGTCACAAAAGTCTTTCTCGGCGGGAGTGGAGACTGCAACGCCCTCACAACACTAGCGCAGCTCGGCGACTGCAACAGTTAGTATAACAATAGCACCCGTCTGGGTGGAGACTGCAGCGGCGCACAGAAAAGTAGCACCATTCTCGCCGGAGACTGCAGCGCTTCACAGCAGCCGTGGTGACTGCGTTGGGCACACGACAGTAGCTTCGGGTCTGAATATTTCAATACGACAGCAAATTAACCAGCCCTCAACGACACAGCTAGTGACCAGTGATTGTAGAAGTGCGAATAAAGATAAGTGCCATTCTAATAAGAACTAGGTACAACCGCAGGGTGCAAATCAGGCTGCTGTCTTCATAGGTACTGATGTGCGTCAGAAAGGAGATACCAGATCGACAATTCAAACATATTTCGGTCCTCTTGGAGCTTAATGCTCAAACCTTCTCATAGTGACCACATGAACACATTGGACCATTACAGCGACCACCAAAGGCTAAAATAGCGCACACATTTGAGGGAACAACGAAGCTGCAGCGACTACAATGTCCTTCACGGCAAGATAAATAACAGTTAATAACATGCTGCTCAATGCATATGGCCGTTTGCAAACTGATCAAGGTCATGAGATATGTACGCCTCCACTGGCCACGCCCCTGCCCTTGCTAAGGTCGCAAACTGTCCGGCAGAACAATATCAGCGTGTTGCTATGCCCTTCTCACTCTGCCGCCAGCCTGGGAAGAAGTGAGCAACACTTCGACGACTACCGTCCATCGCAGAGAAGGGAAGTCTACATCGGCGAGTCTCAGAAGAGGAATAAATTTCACCACAGCCCTAGAGGCGTGGGGTATTCCCACCACGGTCTCAGCAGCGTAGGAGATTCTTACCACAATCCCAACAGCGTGGGTGATTCCCATTATGGTCCCAACAGCGTGGAGCATTCCTACCACAGTCCTGACAGCGTGGAGTATTCCTACCACGGTCCCAACGAAGCTGCTAGGGCAAAAATTGAGGTACCACTACCCGCTGCAGTCAGCAGCGAGCCTCCCCACCGCGGCCCACTGGCCCCCATCGCCCCCTCCCGAGGCGGTGGGAGGAGTCTAGAGCGACATGTGAAGAACACTGAGCTCCTCATTCGGGTGAGTAGGAGCAGCCCCCGTTCACGAGCCTCAGAATTCCTTTACCGTGACGTCACCTGGGCGGCAAAAATCTTTTAGTGAACTAACCTTATAAGTAAAGTAATCTTGAGTAGGAGCACGGGTTAACCAGGAGTGCCAGACCTGAGCTCTTTACCTAGGCTCATTTCTAAAATACGTAATTACGTTTACACATTTTCTCCTGTCTGTCACATTCGTGTCAAGCTCGCAAAGTCGGGTTATGTAGCGGTTTTGAGAATGATTGCTATTTTTATGTGAGCTGCATTTGAACTTAAGGGAGGCTTTTCACTGTCAAAGGATTTTCGAGCTCCCTCGAAACCCTCCCCACCCTGAAGATCATGGAGATGCGTCACTTGGCAGCTGTTCTGACCGCAGCCCTAAGCTCACCATGAAGACAGTTAAGTTAGTATGATTTTGACTGCTCTGCTCCCTCTCCCTTCCTCAGCTGGCCAGCTATCTGGACGTGCAGGGCTGCTTCAGACGACTGGTCTGCGAGAGTCTCTTCTACGGGGACCGGCCCGCGCCCCGCTCGGCCACCGAGTCACTCGTGCTGAGGGCCTTCGGGTGAGGAGAAACGACGGGAACTGCACCACCGACAACGGAACTTTGATTACCCATCCCCGGCTAATACGCTGAGGGCAGTGACCAGGCCAAGGGTCCCATTTTGTCGAATTTTGAAGATTATCTAATGTCCATGAGTAACGAGAAGAAAGAGGCTTTTGAAATTGAGAAAGGATCTGCATGATGTGTCAGAACATGGTTCATATCCTTGCTTACATATCGTCTGACAATAGTTCTCCCCGACTGCTGCTAAGGCCCGTTGTGACCCCAGTTACCCTTTGCACAGTCTGACGGTACCCGCCCCTGCCTGATGTAGCAGCCCGTTCTGACCCCCATTACCACCTCCAACAGTCTGACGGTGGCCCGGGATGCGGATCGAACCCAAGCACGCCGGTTTCTGGAACCGGCGCTGGCCGGCTGGACGGCCCGCTGGAGGGGAGCAGCCGACCCCTGCTCCGAGCTCGCTCCCAGGTGTCAGAAGGCACTGGTGCCCAGGCTAAGGGCGAAGGAAGCGGAGGACACTAGAGACATCTAGCGACAAACTGCGTCAATTGGGTGATGGACGCATTTGGTTCGAGGGATCAGCTGCGGTTAGACGGAAAGAGTGCTGTGGATGAAGGTGGATATCGTTCACCCATTTGGATGTTTGGACATTTAGTGATTTATTTCTATTCGGAGTTAGTGGAATGCTACCGCTCTACGACCCACTGACCATTGTGGCATTATAATGAACAATGACATAATAGCGTTATCGACGCCACACGGCGCTGTAATCTGCTCACCATTGTGGGCTGTGGCATTATGTTGTCTACATTACTGGCATTATGGTCATTGACTACTGCCGGATGCCTACCTACGTGTATCCATTAGCCCATTATCGGGCATCTGTACATTTGCTGCAACGGCGAACGTAGTCGCAGCATCACATGTGTTTGCGAAACACGTGCTTGGGCGGATTCGTTTGCTGATTATGTGTGCAGCTTTTGCATGTGTCTGTGCATATGTTTAATGTTTATGCAGTAACTGTAGTATCTCCGCATCTACGTATGTGGTTGACAGTAGTTGGCAATCACAACAATACAATCAGTGTCGCTCTCCCACTCTGTCCGTTTGATCACTCCGCAAATGTGTCTTGTTACCTTGTCACTCAAGTGGCCAGGTCCCGCGGAACTACCTTCACGATTCAGTCCAGCGACTGTTCTTTGATATACCAATTCAGCCAGCTGTACAGTATATATTCAGATCAATCAGTCTCCAGCTGTCATCATTCAACGCAGCACCCCACGAGCGTCGGTCTGCGACTTTACACTTCTGACCTACCCGGTCTCGAACGCTGTGGCACCAACACACGGCCAGGTCACGACCAGGTCACTGCCGGTCACCGCGACCATCCTCGGACACGAGCCACGTCTCGGCGACCCGCGACGACCCGGCGACACTGAGCGCCAGCTGGTGGCGCCTCTGACTCAGGGTGACTGGATTCAGGAGCGGCACTGCCGGTCAGGAGCGGGAGGTTAGGTGAGGAGAGGACAGGAGCTGGAATCAGGAGTGGGCGGAGGACGGGAGATACTATCAGGAGTCTGATGAGAGCATGAGAGACGATATCAGGAGCTGGAGAAGGAGTGGGCAGACGGAATCATGACAACAGATTGTCTAAGGCATGCAGTAGTTTGGGACGAGTTTGGGCGAGTGTCAGGCGTCAGAGGCAGGGCGGGCTGCGGAGGCCGGTTCGGTTAGGCACTCTATATCCTATCGAGCAGCCGCGCTGTAGGTACATCACAAAGCAGCAATAGAAAAGACGGCGCGCTCATCCACACGCACACAAACACAGAGGAGGCGACATAAAATATCGGAGACGCTCACTGGTCCTGCCGGTGACAGCAAAGCGTCCACAGATCATGATTGCTGGTCACAGCGGGACCGCATTGCACGATACACGTCCCTCCCACCGCACTATCTAGCGGTCAGATTGCACTACGGGCTTCTGCAACCCTTCGCTCCTCTCCCCTGCGGAGGGGATGAGATGATTGACTGTCCAGCCAGCACTCCATCATACACTCATCCCCGCACAGCGCCGGCGACGCGCAAACAAGGAATATGTAGCGAGCCGCTGTTGCATCACTAGCGCAGCCCGGCGGTCGGATGGCAACTACAAGTGGCGTCCGCGCGCGACAGATGTCGCCACGAGTCTACAGTGTGGTCACGGCCAGCGGTGTGGATTGGACGCTCAGTGGTGTCCGCCGCCGTCCAATGACATTCGCCGTCCGATGCCCGGCACTGGAACAGCAGGCGTCGGGGTATTTAGCTGGGAATAAGCACAAACAAACGCCCACAGAACTGATGGAAAGAGAAGCGGTCGGCACTCGGCACCGCCAGGGGGCGGAAACTGTCAGCGGGGCAGCTCGCTAGATAGATGAACAGCGGAGAAAGAGGCAGGCAGCGGAAACTAGAGGCTGCTAGGAAATGCTTCCGTCGTCAGCAGGACACTGCAGGACACTGCAAAAGCGAGATCTTATCTCGCACGCCAAGGTCCAGGAGAAAGACATAAGGGCTATATTATATAACTTCCTATATGCCTTATATAAGGCCACATTCACCGGCAAACACAGGTCAGTAAACAGCACTGTACTGAAAAGATTTGGGTGCACATTGGGTTGCCACACGATACACCTAAATCCACTTATTCCCTCCGCCATAACATCTACCGTACCCCGCGAATCCACGGGTTCCTACACGGCAGACAGCACCTGTTTCGATAAACAAACACAGATTCAGGCCGGTGACATCCACTGGTACCGTCTCAAAGCAGAGTGCATCCGACACGCCACGGCATACCACGGCACGACACAACATTCCAGCGTGAGAGTGACGGCGGCGACGCAGAAAGAGCGACATGCGACAGCAGCTCGGTTCAGACAGACAGGCAGACGGTAGAGCAGAGGCTAGAGAGCTGCGAGCAACAGCTTACAGAGAGTAGAGGTCAGAGCAAAGAGCAGAGCAGAGAGACGATAGAAGAAAGCGATGGAAGCAGTGGGCGGACCGGCACACCTGGAACTCTTGCATGCACACTGTACAGTGCACAGATACACACTATCAACGGGCATGCAGCCACGGTGGAGACCTCAGGACATGTCCAGCCAATAGGACACGTGAGAGAGCATGGACAGCACATTAATCAATAACGGAGAAACGCCAACAAGCAATGTATAAATTCTGAAACACGCCATCAGCCCGTGGTCAAGCTCGGAAACGATCAACGACAAACCCTTCTGTACTGGAAATAGGACAAACACTGGACGATAAATTCAGCCCCGAACCGCAAAGCTTGCCAATCACCAGGTTTCGCAGTAACATAAGTTATTCAACATGAATTTAGCCTGACCTGAAATCATTGCCGAAAAATAAAAGTGGATTAAATTCACCTAAGGCATGCCTGATAGCTTTTGGACACCGTTAACGCAATTCCAATTAGCATTATCCGTTCTCAAAACAACGGAGAATGGACGATAAACTAGGATAAGAAATACCCTACCAGGTCCTGGTCTAATCAAAACATTTTGATTCACAGATAACGGCTTATTCGCCCTAGTAGAAAGACTTTCACGCTTATGCCTCGGCAAGTTAAACATAGGGAGAACGAAAAAAAAACAGCGACACAGCCCTGTGTTCGTTATTCACGATATTGTCATCAGACGCGGCAACAACCACGCTGTTGCCTGCGGCTGCCCCAGTAACAAAAGTGCCGTCGCGAAAGGGCTGACACAGTCGATTTCTGGTGAAGCGTTATATAACGACTTCACTTCCAAAAACAGTGGGCAGGCCGCTGCCCAATGAGGGGATAGCCTTGGAACTAACGTCGGCATAAATCAAATAAAAAATATCCGTTGTGGAACGTTTTCTGCATGCATTAAAAAGCAAACAATGCTCATTAAAACAATAGCCATCAAAACGGAATGACAAGAGCTGGGCAAAGCACGATTAACTTCACATCGACTTGAGTCGGTGCTCAGGGTTGAATGAAAATATAACATACTTTGCTACAATAATGTGGCAAATCTGCTGTTCAGTGACAGTGCCTAAATTGACACAAACTAAGCCACGTCACATATGCTAAAAAAGTTAAATACTCGTTTAGTCTATCTCCGTACACACATCCAATCCCATCGCATTTAACAGAACGGGTTGATGTAGGTACACACATTCTGAAATATGGAAACAACGCTTCGAGCAAAGAAACATCTGTCGATTGATGGTCATTGAATAACATACATGGTATTAATTAGCAAATTACGGTCCATTGAATTATGTATGAAGCGTAAGAGCCAGTGCTTGTTTCGTGTAAAAACAAAGCTCATCACACACACCAAACTGAAAAATTCACAACGAATTATCAAAGCTCCGCACAGGCACAAACTAAGAATGTTGTTACAGTCACTTCACAAACCATTAATATATTGATCCTTTAACCACAACCACACAAATAAAAAGAGCAACTGAAAAAGCTAAACGACAGCCGCACCAATTTCACTTACATTCAGGCACATTCCAAATGCCGCTGGCGACAGCAGCGACCTCGCCGGTATCAGTAAGACATATATCTAAAATGTACAGTAATCTCGTCTAAAACCATGTCACGCTGCAATCGGCCAGCGGACATTTCCCGATATCAAACGGCCAGCGGAACACCCAGCTGATAAGTGTCAGTACAGACGGTCACATTACAGAGGACCGCACAACAGCCCAGGATAAGAGAACAACGGTGACGAAGAACCTATCACAATTCTGACAGTAACCTCGGACACAGCCAAGACACTGGACAAGGACAGCGGACACAGTCCAGACGGTGCCAGCGGACACATCCCGGACGGCGGACAGATCCAGCGGACACAGTCGGGACACGCTGGAGAGCGGACACAGCCGTGACAGTCACGACAAACCGACCACAGTACGGACAAAGACAGCCCCAGCTCAGACAGTGGCGATGAGCCGGCGGTACGCCCCGGCTGCGCCATCATCCCTGGTTTACCCACGGCTACCAGACCGGACCAAGGCACGGTCGGGCGGCGCTCACAGGGGCCGTGGCTGACTCACAGGGGCTCAGCCCCAGCCGGACCCGGCCACCAGTGCAGCGGTCGAGTGATGGTATTGACGGGCGCGCCGGCACGGCAAAGCAACGGAGGACTCCGCACACGCCACACGATAAAGCATCGCTGATGGCGGTCGACCGTGGAGAAACAACAGCTGTGCCAAGCGCGCCATTTTGTCGAACAGCTCACACATTCCGCGCTCAAAGCGTGATTCTGTGGAGTCCCAGCGCGGTGGGCTAACAGCATGTGAGCAGCATGTGAGCAGCATGTGAGCCGGCTATGCCAAACACACAGTGGAGTGGCGGCGTGGCTTCCCTAGAGCAGTGGCGGCGGCGAGCGTTGCACACAGCAGGCCAAGCTCCCGTTCCTGCCGTGCTGTGTGGTGTTCGAGACTGTCATGCATCCCCTGTGGTCCGATACATGTCTTGTGTCGGTCCGTTACGTCGTTAAATCTAAATACATGCCATTGTTTTTGTTGGCTCGTTCCGTCATTGAATACATGTCACGTGTACATACGTTAATTCCAAGCACATTTCGTCCATGTTGGTCCATTCCGTCGATACGGATAAGTAGTAAGTACTGTGACTGTCCGTTCCATCACTGCACATACGTTTGTGTCCGTCAGTAAGCGTTCGTCTCGAGTTAGCGTCCTGTGTCCTGTACTGGTGACATGGTCCCGGGCGGCCAGCTCACCTCAGTCGGAACGGTTCACGGCCGAGCATGCTGCGGCAGTGAGACCACACATGGTTACCCAAAGCCACACTCGGTCACTCAGAGCCACACTCTGCCACTCAGAGAACGACACAAAATGAACAGAAAGGGCGCAACGCAGCCGCCGCTGTCACATAGCCCTAACACGTCCGGAGACAGCAACACCGAATTCAGGACAAGGACGTAAGGAGTGAACCCACCCCATCAAAATTAGCACAAAACTCAGACACACAGAACAGCACTGCACAAGGTTCGAAAACAAGCAGAAAAAAGCGTACGGATGAAAGTAATGATTCCACTCAGAGCACACCGCCGTGTTCACTCACGAGCTCAGAGAAAACCGCATCCAATAAATAGTCCAGGCGGCCACCTTCAAAAGCAAACCACCATAAGTCGACACATGAACCGAAATAACAAGTCAGACCAGGGCAGTCTCGACGAGCATGATACGCCTCAAGCGAACACATGTTAGAGAGACCAGACGGTAAACGACGGTAGACTGTGAAGTAGACTGGAGCGGAAGGAGTTGGAGAGAGACACCAGAAAGAGGTAGGACATTGGCGTCAGCGGACCACCAGCGTGTTCTATGTAGACGAGGACCGGTACGGGCCAAAGCAGACCAAAAGCGGACCGCCACCAGGTTCTTTGCGGACCGAGACCGGTCTGGACCAAAGCGGATCACCTCCGTGCATTGTGTGGACCGGGATTGGGGTGATGAAACAGACCAGGACATCAGACCACCACCAGTTAGTGTGAGACCAGGAGAGGACAGGACCAAGGCGGTCCATCACCAGTTAGCAGGAGACCAGGACCAATCCGGACCACAGCAGACCACCACCAGTGGGTAGCGGAGGGGACGGGCGGCGGCTGCAAACAGTACCTGTCACATCACTGGAGAGGAACCTTCTGTAGCCTTTGTCGTGATCGAACCGCTGCAACACATAGACACGCCAGGCGCCGCGCGGCGCGTCAGAGTTGGTCCCAACAGTGACGATTCTGCGCCACACCGCAAGGCAGCGCCATGATACGTCGATAAGCCGTACCTACACGTCATATGTATATCGAGCACAAGCAGGAGAGCTCGAAAAACATTCATTAATCTGAGCATAGCGCTTGGCGTGTGTTAAAATTAAGGCAAGCGCATTCCAACATCTTCGCAGGAAGCAATATAATTTTTGGGTAGCCCACTTGCATATATTTAGCGCCGCAGAGGTAAAGCCATGCGGGCAGTGTATTTTAGAATGCCGCTGCGTTCAAGAAAATTAATTAATATTAATATTACTTGGATATTAATATTAATATTAATTACTGAATTTCAATGGCTCAATGTTTGTCACATGCTGCATGCGCGACATTGCTCCATACTAAGCCGAACGGCACGGTGCACATAACGGGCAACATTCAACGATCATTAAATATTAATAACAACCCAATGATGATACAATTTGCCAAAAAAATAAATATCGGCCATTTATGCTACGCAGCACAATGCAAACACTACAAACTATCCAGATCATGCCCGGCACATAGCACCGATTTTGTGTCAGCTGAACAAATCAATTAAAGCGCCTGTTACACCGTGCTGCGCAGACAAAAGGGGGCATTTCTCAGCCCCTTACAAACCCTGTCTGCCACTGCATTGGTTTCGTGATGGTTCGCACCTGATCTCGCTTAATTTGACTGTCGAGCTTACCAGATTCTCATTCCTCCCTCTCCAAGAGTACGGACTGGCAGTGAGGCTCACCGAATTCCTCTCCTTTCTACGAACACACACTGGCAGTAAAACTCACCGAATCCCTGTCCCTGCAGGAAGAGTCGGAATGCCTCGCAGACCTTGGCAACCTGTTCGTCGAGCGGCAGGCTGCAGTCGTGGATCTTCATCCACTGGGTTTTGCCCGGGTCCAAGCGGGAGTTGAACGTCACCGTCTCGTCCTCGTACGGACTGCGGTTTCCGCACACGAGCAGCACGGGCACGCGCAGGAACACACCCTCCTGGGAAGACAGAAAGGCGGGGAGTTACACACCAGTAGTACCTACAGGCACACGCAGGAATACATACACCCTCCTAGGGAACAGGAAGACTGGGAGAAATTAAACAATATTAACGCGCAGAGGCGCGATTTTTAGGGCGATAAAAATAGCATCCCGAATCCAAGAACCCACGACTCAGAACGCGATGGAACTTTTCCTCGTCAGCGCAGCTGTAATTGAGCTCAAACTTCAAGCACATGTCTCCGGCAAAACTGGTCCTCGCAAGGTCCGGGCTTTTAGGCAAACACGTGCAGGGGGCATCACTCCGTGGCGCGTTTTATCGTCCCGATGGCCATCACAGTGACGTTACAATGAACATAAATCAAAGAGCAACATATTTATAACGGAGCCCGCAATACAGGTGCGCGATCAGTCACGAACGCATCACAAGTCGTAACAATGGGCAATGCTACAGTAATAAAATAATGAATTGAATAAATTGAGCCGCTATCGGGCCATCAAACACAGAGTGTGGCCAGTTTCTTTTCAAGACGGTTACTTTGTAGGTAGGTAATTGTTTGCTGCACGTGCTACCGGTGGGGTTGAGTGAACGGTGTGTTACAACTATTACGAGGATTATGGTTAATGGTTTCGCGCACGGAAGGAATTATGTGTGCAATGTATGTCAAATGTTTTGTAAACAACGGGCATAGCGATGTAAAACATCTCAATTATTCGCAAGAAGGCTGTATCTGAACGCCCAGTGTACATACCTAATTACAAACGGGGTGGTGTTTTGGGTATCATTTGGCTGCAACTTTGAGCCAAAGAGAGAAACTGATATGATCAAAAGGCGCAGTAAGCCCTTGAAATGTGATGATCTAAATTATTACGGAGCGAGCGAAGCGAGCGTAGTCTTTCCTTAGATTAACGGAAATTTCTGAGTATGAGCGGCCGGCCGGCCGGCCGGCCGGCCGGCCGTGGTCACGCTTTTGCGAGGCTTATATCTCAGCAACCACTTGACCGATTTACATGCGGTAATTTTTGTAGGGTAGCTTCATTCCTTCTTCCAAGTATTGGACTATTCCCGATGCATGTGGGTGACCCCTTATGCACGTGCCACGTGCAAAACGAAGAGGTGTCCGTTTTGTAATTGTTGCAATATCTCGGTAACTACTTGGCCGATTGCGCTGAAAGTTGGCATGTAGGTAGGCACCCACTAGGCACTGCATATCCATGTGCCAGAGTTGGGGCGCTGCTGCACGTGCGCACGTGCAGGGGTCGATTCCAGATCTCGAGAACGGCTGGACCGATGGCGCTCAAATTTGGCACATGGTTAGGGACCGGTTAGTAGGGTGCCGTGCAAAAGTCGGTTGGGCCCCATTTTGCACGTGCGCACGTGCAGGGTGCCGCTTCCAGATCTCGAGAACGGCTGGGCCGATTGTGCTCAAATTTGGCACATCGCTAGAGACCGGTTAGTAGGGTGCCGTGCACAAGTCAGTTGGAGGTACCCCCTCGCAATTTCGCACGTGCAAGGCCCACCCTCTCGCTCGCTCCGTTAGTCGCCCCAAAAGGCGTTATACTGGTCCAATATAAGATACAAAATGACGTAAGCTTGTTCTTAGGTTCCAACAATGGGTACAAGTTACCTATAACTACATCACAAACTCATCGTTATTCTTGATAGTGTGAGAAGTTTCGGTTGAAGCAATGACGAAATGAAACGGCATGAAACAGGCCAAATTCGATCTCCGCACAACCTTGTTGCTCGCCTTCTACATGTGCTTGATGCTGTAACACCGTACTTCGGACCGACCAGCGCAGGGGGATTTCCCGACGATCCCTTTTCGCAGCGCAGCCGGTCATAGCTCCCCGCTCACCACAGCCAATAGTCCCATCCACACGCGATAGCTGTATCAGTGAGCACACCCTGGATCAGTCAGCACCCATCGGCTGGAAGGCGCGGGCTCACTCGGCCGAATTGCTATCCCAGACCGGGAGGCCAGCCACAGGGTCCGTGGGTGTGAGTGTGGTTAACAGTCCGTGTCAGTGTCAGTTAGATGTCCGTCCTGACCCGTGTCAGGTTTCCTCAATGGCATCACACTGATCAGTCGGCCAGTGATGAGTTTTGGACAAGCCCAAGTAAAAGAAGGCGCCATTCCGCTGCATGTTACTGTACGAAATAATGTAATGATTACCGACAATCCAATGCTAGACGTGGGACACCATTATGATTCCCAACCTCGGATTTGCTGTTGACTTTCTGCATCAAGGATATTTGATTATTTTTCGTTAAAATTTGTAAGACTTTCTTTGTTGTTGGCTGCAGCATTAGTCCCAATCGGTACATATGAAGATATGATCTGCATGATTGACGACTCACCGTTCTTAAAGTAGTTTCTATACCCGGAATCCATTAACTCGTCGGTCAACCACGCGATGTTTACCTCCCACGGGTAATCCTACATAGGCCAAACATCAAAAGCTTATATAAAACCACTTATATAATAAGAAACGTGCCACACCGTGTTGTCGCCTCACGAAGTGAACCACAGAAAGGCGGCTTCATCAGTAGCATATCACGCAGTTAAAGTGCCTGGTTGTCTGGATCTAACGGTGGCGTCTTATATAATACGGTAGGTTTTGGGCGGTGGCTGCCTGGCCGGAGTTAAACCGCAGAATATGACGATGCTGGAAGAGGAGTATGGTGACAGGGTTACCTAGACGGTGTTTGTTGACGGCATTGACTGATCAAACCCGGGTAACCCGCAGTGGCTCGGCGGAGAGTACTGAACTGCTGAGCTGTGGACAATACGACAGTGAGAGGTGCACACTGCACGTGCAGTGGCAAGACCCGGCGTATAACATTGACATATCATGCGACACACAGAGTAGAAGCTGAAGATTGTAGATAAAGTAGAGCACAACAAAGAAGCGGAGGGGAAGGCAGACCACAGACTCAGACCAGCCAGCTCCCGGTCACCGGTTCTCCGGCATGGAAGACGGCATGTCTGCCACCAAAGTTTTCCTCCACCTGACAATACCACATTGACGGCATATTTACCTATAGCGGGAATACAGAAGCGAAGTCACGGCTCTTTTCTCATATTAGTCGGCGGTTCGACATATATGTCACAATATTTCAGATGGTCTATCGCCGGGTGTCACACAACAAATCAACGCGGGCATTCCCATTTCAGGACAATGCCGCATTACAATGCCGTAAGAGGAAAACAAGCGGAACATAGTTACTAACCAAGTAGCAATATCGCTTAGCATTCAGTAAACAATCGAAATGATGTTTGATGTGAAAGTAATGACACATATTTCTTGGTGCATCAATGCACAGACCGTCGACAATATGATTACAAATACCAATGCTTCAATATGATGATAAATATCCCCATGTTCAGTCAATTATTGGATCTCAATTCATACTTTTCAATCACAGAAGTGACAAATATTGTATTCGCCTAACAATTTCACAGAAGGGTTGTATATTATGTGAGTTAAAGGGCATGTAAGAATCTTATTTTCCATCCAATTCTGGGGTCGCAAACAGGATAGTTAACACAGATCGCAAACAGGATTTCCGTAAACATCACCACAAACGTTTTACACAGACCATTAAACTACTGATTTCCGTCATTTCCTCGGGCACACCCTGTCATGGCCCATTGTGTGAGACTTCTGCTCTAGGAACATCAACACACCATCAGCACCGGTCACCCGACCTGGTGTAGATAACTTAGCAGAACCTGTATACTGTATATGACCCGGTGTAGTCTGTGACCGTTTTCTCCACTCCCACACCCCAGACCAGCCCTGTCAAGTGCTTCACGCGAACATCGGACTTCAGTGGCGCTGTCGTGACAGGGTGCCACCGCAGTGGGCGCGCCGGCGGGCGGCGACCGTGCACCAGGGTCCGCCGCCGCCTCCGCCACGCTCCTGGCCGACCCCTCGACGCCCGACGCCCGTCCGCCACAGCAGGATGTGGCACTGCACGGGCCAGCCGGCACCTGCAACGGCCCCGTACATACGGCCGGATCGCACACACCGAGGACCGGTACAGGCCGACACACGAAAAATGCACACGGGCGGCGTTTAGAGCGGCGACTTCCGTGAGCTTTCCAAGTCCGCCTCGGCGCCGCTGGCCGGCGCGTCACTGACGAACGGACCTGACACAAATCGAGTCGGTAGACTATGTGATCCCTAATGTAGCATACTGACGCGAAAAGCGCATCGCACTGTTAATGCAGCACCGAAGGTCTAATCAATCGCGTGCGACTCGATTCGTAGGCGGCATTCTCGACCCACCCAGCAGTGCGTGTTCTAGGAATATCACCAAAAAACTGATCCATTTTATCGTACCATAGACCACATGGCACACATCGATTCCATATAAGTTGGTACAGCCCATAGCCACCATCCAATTATAACCGACGCCCAAAAATATTTGCACAAGCGTCATTGCAGAAACGCGATGGTTCCGGTGCATATGTCGCACACACGCTATCCTGAGAAACTGCGGAACGGTCCCATAGCTGACCTCCACTTCGCAGGGTCCGATCCAGATCAACCCAGCCAACCGTGCGGTCCGGGAAATATGTCACTGACGGTCGGTGAGTGACATCCAATTATTTCAGAACATGGGTGACATGTGGCGCAGCCCAGGAAATTTAACTGGAACAAGGTAGGGTGGTGAGATTTTTGCAAGCCGATATTATTTTCTGTATGGACATACATCTAGAGAGGCAATTTATTATACGCAACCTGTAGCTCATCAGATCACCAAAGAAATAAGCAGTTATTTGTTGTTCCGTCAGCAGCTGCGACCTACTCGACAAGCCCAGTTTTTGGCCCGAAGAACGCGAGGCAGAGAAGCCGTAGACCCAATGGTGGCAGTCGACTTTGGTGGCCACTATGTGATTTTCAATACCGAGAAATTCTATCAATAAGCTCCGTTGCAATCGATATCGGCATGAAAAGTTTCCTAAATTTGGCTCGTATTAACACCTATT